TGTGTTTGAGCAGGAACAGGAAGTGATACTCTACCGCAGAGCGAGCGAACACCAAGTGACAGCGATCACCTATATCTAGCCAGGTACCGGCTAGATATAGTCGGGCTCACCTCTACGCATGGCTTGGGCTCTGGAACCAGTCTCCTGGAGAGGGGCTGGACCAGGTTGCCCCTGGTGAGAGGCGGCGGGCTGGGGAGGGTATTCTAATATCCCCTCGGCTTGCTGCCGGTACGTTAGGGTCCTTCCCAGTGGATGAGAGGGTTTGTTCCCTGCGCCTTAGGGTCAGGAAACAGGTCCTGACTCTTATCTGTGCTTATGCGCCAAGTGGCAGTTCAGAGTACCCAGCCTTCTTAGAGTCCCAGACAGGCCGTCTGTCAGGATGTATTTGTGAATGATATAAAACAGTCGAATATGGTTGAATTCTTTGACTGACTTGACAAAAGCAAAGCTTGCTACTACTGCCTTGTTTAGTTGACAGCATGGCAATGATACAAGATGTATTTCTAAAGACTGCCTACATTTCATGTTTGCATCAAATATTATCACAATATGTGGAGTGATACCCTTTGAAGAAGGGGCTTCACAGCCTTCGATTACTAATGCTACACATTGATGAATCTTTGTTTTAATGTTAACATTCATCATATAGTTCATTATAATGGATGAGATTTAGGACCTTATAATTGCAGAGGAAGAACACTGAATTTTTTTTTGTTAGTTCTTTTTTGTTAGTTCTTTTGTTGTTCCCACGATACCCGTGGTGATAATTCTGTACTTGGTGTTAATGTTAAAAAATGTTTTTTTATTAGTGCTGTCAATAGATTAAAAAAAAATTAACTAATTAATCGCACAATTGTCTGTAAATTATCTGTATATTTAAGCTTGTAACTGACATTCATGCTATATAATGAAGTAAATGCAGAATAAACACAAAGAATGTTAAATGCCTAAATTCAAAGAGAATTTGAATAGTTTTCTTCAATCTTTTAGCACAGGTTCTCTCCTGTGAAATACAACTTTTTAAAAAACCTATATACTAATAGGTACGTGTGAGATTATTATACTGCCATATGTTACCTGTAATCAAAACGATTGAATCATGATTAGGGATGGGTACCGGTATCCGGTGACATTATGGCACTGGTTCTGACATAAAGGGTAGTAACCAGACTGAAAAGCAGCGCACATTTCGGTGCTTTTTTTTCCTGAGATGACACACACTCATTTTACCTTTCCAAGGATAGTAGGCGGGCCCAGGTACGTACGTTCTTTTAGAGCAGAGCTACAGATTAAAAATGCCCGAGGCGAAGCGGTCAAAGTCTGGCTGTACTTCACAGCAAAATATGCAAACTCAGCAGCAACAAGTGCTTTAAGCTGATACTGTGATACTGTCAAAGGAGGTAACTCCTCAAATCCGATGAAACACCTGGTGACGCATAGCGTTTTTTTTAAAAGCCGAGAAATGCGCCGTATTTGATAGCTTGCTGCGAGACCTCACACCGAGCACATCTACTGCGGGTGTGGTGCCTGTTATTGGAACCGGAGTTAGCAACATCCCCCAAAAACCCGAAGAGGAGAGTCCTGGCCCCTAGCCCTGCCAGTGTAGCAGAAATGATGAGGAGGATGATGCAGCAGCAGCCGTTCTTCTCTGCGTGAGTCGCTTAATGTTGTTCGTGTGTAATTTACATTGAGTAGGCTAACCACGTTATTACATTAATGCATGTAAGGTGAACTAGCAAACATCATCATAGCTACATGCGGCTGTCTTCTTGTTTGATGGCAGATACTCCCTTCACCCTGGCCAAAAAGGCTAAAATGACAAAAGAAAAAGTGGAAAACAGCTGAACATGAGAGGTTTTTGGACAAAGTTTGTATTCTCCATTCTTTAATCACCGGTTCGAGCACCATTTAAGCACCGGCACCGTTTCAAAAGTACCGGTTTGGTACTGGTATCAGATAAAACCTAAACGATACCCATCCCTAATCATGATGCTGCTGTAGGCCACATTATACTTCTTATTATAGATTGTGTAATCATTATGTAGTTTTAGTTTGCATTATACTTCTGACTTAGAAGAATGTGAAAATCATTAGATTTATTAGATTGATTTGTATTACATTATACTGCTGATTTACTGTGAATGAGTTACACGGTTTTATGACATTTCATACTGCTGGGTTATAAAGAGAATACTGAGTGCACGGGATCAGGGCCTTGCTTTTCTGATTGTAGAGAGAACCAAGTATACTGCACGAGAGCTTCTCCCCCACCTTTGTTGGAAGCAGAAAAACAGGCAGCCAAGGTCATAACTCAGGCTCACTGAGAGATAGAAAGTATGTGCGATTGTTTTGCCCCCTGAGCTCCAGGTGTTGTGCTAGACAGTGATCGTGATTACCGTCCGCAGGAACACGCAGCTGCTTAAAGCTGTAGCGCCCAGATTTCTTACAGCTACTTTCTGCAGCTGATATAAGATGCAGTAAGCTGAACACAGCTTCAACCATCTGGTTGTTGAAAAATAGTAACGGGCCGCATTTTCTTGTTAGTAACTGTAACGGTGTTATAACGATAGGAATAGTAATTAGTTAGATTACTTGTTACTGAAAAAAGTAACGCCGTTAGTAACGCCATTACTTGTAACGCCGTTATTCCCATCGCTGCCCATGATGCACCATCACATTATAAATGTAAATAGTGTGGAGTCAGTGAAACTGTGTGTGTGTAGCTTTTTTCTCATTTATACTGTATAGTCTGTGCTTCCCACAACCTTTAATTATAAGTTGTGCAGTGTAACTACATTAAGTGTGAACTGTATCAATTTTCAAAGCAATCTCCCTTTGAACGGTATGAAAAGCAAAGTAATACAGACTTGATACTTTCAGCAGGTTTTTTAATATATAAAGTGAAAATGTTAGCTTGTACTCCATGTTAGCGTACACATGGTTTGTCATTAAAGAAGTGAAACTCCAAAAAGAGTGGCATGAAACAAAGTAAAAATCACCCCAAGTTGAAGCGACATGAGTCATTTTAGGAACGTTTAATTTTTGAACAGAAAGGAGTAAGGAGTACATTTCACTAAATGCACTTACAGAGCAATATCGCCGGGCTGCACTGATCTGACATGAGATTATACTGGAAATCAGATACACAGAGCAGGAATAGTGAATACAGGTAGATAAAAGAATGTGTGTGTGTGAGACAGAGAGATGCTGTCAGCATGGCTGCACAATGAAACCAGCTTTAACCAGCAATCAGGTTAAATATAGCAGGGCTCTTCAGAGATAAAAAAATATTCCTCACAGTATTTCTTTTAAGCACATCCATGCATGTCATTGTAAAGCATCCATGACACACTTCAAATGGCACTTCAACAAAGAACAGAAAGAAAAAGAAAATCGAGCGAGTTGCGTACTTTCGTTGACACAGCAGGTATCAGGAGTCGTCGAGGTTCAGACCGTGGAGCCAGAACAGCCGAGAACATGTACTGAGCCGATTTGTCTTTGGGCTGCGTTTGATATTCGTCAGGAGTTTGCACATTACACCAGAGAAGTACAAAACCAAATCCCGGTGGATCATAATCACGAAACAAAACATAGCTGAAATCATATTTCTGTACATGGAAACAAGAAATGTTGTCTCTTCATAAGCAGACAAGGAACAAATATAAAAACAGATCATCTGGCACTACAAACACTTGGCATCTGTCAAATCATGAAGCAACAGAAGAGTGAAAATAAACAAGGTTTTGTTGACAGGCAACGTCTTCACAGAGACAGCACAGTCAGGAGTCCCACGCTCACCTGCAGCAGTACAGTACTAGTACAGTACTAGTACAATAGTAGTACAGTACTATTACAGTAGCAGTACAGTAGTAGTTTTAGTTCCAATCAGTGCTTGATTCAAGGTCTATTTATAAGTGAACCAAGAGTTTACTCTACCTATCTGACTCATTGTCTCTAGAGGACCATTCCCATGTCTGATTGTTAACCAACATATAAAGTGCTTTCAAAAGATAACATATTCAATTCATATCTATACAATAAATCAATAATTAGAGGATATTATGTGTAGGAATTAAAGAGAGGAAGGGTTAAAAACGGTCTATTCAGGCACGAACAGAGACTCTTTCTCCTTCTCTGTTCCTTTTCTCCAAGGCTTTTTTTTCCTTACAGTTTTTTTACTTCTTGAAGGGCGTCAGTCTGCCAATGTTGTGCCAGAAGGTGGAGGTCTTGCGCTTGGGCTCAGCCAGCATAAAGACCTGCTGCTGGGGCAAAGCAGAGGGGAGAGAGGGGTGTTTCTGCCTCAGGAGGAAGTCATAATAAGGTCTGGACACCGCTGAGGAGAAGACGAACAACAGATCATTACTTATAATACAATAATAATACATTTTATTTATAGGTGCCCTTAAGACCCTCAAGGTCACCTTACAATAGCACAAGAACAATAGCAACAATACAATATAATAAAACATGGCAAAATAAAATATAGACATAAGAGAAAAAAAAGCATGAAAGTATAAAAGCAAGTATAAAAGCTGAGTAACGTAAAAGTGGACTAAGACCGAATCAATTGTATGCAGTTTTGAATAGATGGGTTTTGTGACGTGATTTAAAAGTGGTGAGAGAGTTCGTGATCTGGTGGAAGTGCATCCAAAGTCTTGGAGCAGAACAGCTAAAGGCTCGAGTCCCATGGTAGTCAGGCGAGCAGGTGGATTTACGAGGTACACCGTAGAGAAGAGGATTACAGTAATCTAAACGGGATGTGACAAGAGCATTGACAAGTATGGCAGTACTGTTTGGAGTGAGTGAGGGACGAAGGCGGTTAATATTACGGAGATGAAAATAGGATATGCATTAGGAAACAAGGAAGGGTTTCATTATGAGGGTCTGAGATTGCATTTGTTGTTTAAATCTAACTCGGTAAAAGTTCAGTATAAACTAAAGTGAGCGGCTATGAATGACAGGGAGACTTCTACAAAGAGCCAAACAGGTGAAACAAGAAAAATATTAGATATACACATAATCTGTTGACATCCGCACATGGCAGCAGATCACAAAGTGTGTACTGCCGGGCGTTTCGATTCGTTATCATCTATGGGCCACTTTTTTACCCCTTTGCTCAGTTCCACTGCTGTCCACTGCAGTCGTGTAGGTAGAGCAGGTCATTTACTAATTGGAAGGTTTAATCCCTGGCTGCTCCCATCTCCAGTCTGCACAGTATCCTTGGGCAAGATATTGAACCCCAAGTTACTCTACGATAAATTGATTGGTGCATACCTTTGGGTTTCCCAGCTGGATGGCTTTTGCAGGCATTCAACATGGCCTGTTTCTTCTGGACGTCTGTGAGAGTGAACCCTGACAAAAAGAAAAGAAAAACAACAGGTTTATTCGTAAGGACATCAGACCGACAGCATTCAAATCAGCTGACAGAAAATGTCCTTGACAAAATGAATTTAAAAATCAGAATTCTGTGAAAGTTTACAGCGTCTGTATCTGTTTAATGCATGTGCCACGACAGTGCTGCAACAAACTTGGATTGCCACCATTATTATCATCCAAATGTTTTAGCATCTATTCATATGAAGACAAACTGAGCACATGTCTGACCTGTCTCGCGGTCTTGCTGGACCTGCCTCCTCTCATCAGTAAAGGCCCGGAGCCAGCGCTCTTTCTGCTCAGGCTTCTTAGCACATAGGAGGTGGACTTCATCACCAGTTAGCGAGCGCAGTTTCAGAGCATTTTTTACGCTGGTGTTGAAGTCTTTCTCCTTACCATCCTCCAGATCTATTACTTCCATGTGGTCCATGTCAATCCGGCCCTTGTAGTAAAGCATGTCTCGGCGCAGGAGGTCCTGCAACAATAATGGACAGCAGATTTAAAGAAGGATTTGTTTTGAACAAGAGTAAAAAGAAAGTAAATGAAAGCCAAAAGGTTTGTTTTGTTTAGTTTTTTTTGTTTAGCACTGTGTCACCTCAACAGTTCTCAACAGCCCAAGAGAAAACCCTAACAATCACATCACCCCCCATGAGCAACCACTTGGCAACAGCAGAAAGGACAAACTCCCTTTTAACAGGAAGAAACCTCTGACAGAATCAGGCTCAGGAAGGAGCCGCCAACGGCTGTGACCTGTTTGGAGTAAGAGGAGGGAGACTGGTTCACTTCCACTGCATGTCTTTAGTCCTGAGGTAAATAATAACAAATGACTGAATGTTCAAAGGTTGATTCTGTTCATCTGGACGTAGCGTTTTCAGTGGGAGAAGCGTTTCGTCACTAATCCAAGTGACTTCTTCAGTCTCAGCTGACTGCAGGTTTCAATCTTATAAACAGTACATTTGCATAATGACTGAAACCAGCCCACTGA